ACATCATGTTAAATGGAGAAAAGATTGAAGTTGTCAGGGATTTCTTTTTACTGGGATCCACAATAAATGCCCATAGAAGATTTCTTGACAGAAATCAAATGATGTATTACATTGAGCAAAACTGCAGCAAAAGACCTCTTTAAAGTATTTGTAAGTCAAGATGTCATTTTGAAGACTAAGGTGTTCCTGACCCAAGCCATGATATTTTCAGTTAACTTCATATGCATGTGAGAGCTGGATAATAAATAGAGAAGACTGCAGAAGAACTGATGTGGGGATGTGATCATGCAAATAAGGTATAATCCCCAATGTGGGGATTGGTCAGTTTTGTTATCCCACTAGGCTTAAAATGAGTCATTCCATAGGTGTCAAGAGGGAAGAGAATAGCCAGGAGTGGAGCATGTCCTTGGACCCAAGATCCCAGTGCTGAGATGGCAGAGAGATCGTGGCAGCAGAACCAAGAGATTGGCATCAGACAGAGCAGTAGGCTTCCCGGCCCATGGAGCAAGAGAGCTGAATGCCTTTGGGCAGAAGGCAGAAGGGTTGCTGGCAGATGGAGTGCCTCTTTGGGCACCTATCAGCATTGTAAGAGCACTGTAACAGTTGCCAGAGCAAAGTAGAGGGCAGGTCAAGAGGCAGAGGGCCAACAGAGGCATGCCTACAGGCATGGCTAAGGGGAGGCTGTCCTATCGAAGAATTGTATTCTGAGCATTCCCAAACCTGAACTATAACCTATTACTTCTCTAACAAACCCCATAATCATGAGTATTGTCTGTGAGTTCTGTGTGGACATTGCAATGAAGTATCATCTAACCCAGCAGAGAAGTAGTAGAGAGTGCTGGGGAGGGATGACTGGTGTTAGAATTGGCAAAAAGGTTGGAGGGTGGTGGCATGTCTGACATCTGCATCCTAAGAACAGCCTTGGTCTGCTGATTGTGATTTTCTCTTCCCTTTGTGAAGATAGAGAGGATCAGATGATGATGATGCCCCATCTGTTTTGTACTTCCTCTAGGTACCAGGTCCAAGGCTTTTTTTAAAAAATGTTTTAATTTTTGTAAGGAGCTCTGGTGGCATAGTGGATAAGGCACTTGACTGCTAGCTGGAAGGTCAATGGTTCAAACCCAATAGCTGCTATGTGGAAGGAACATGGGACAATCTACTTCCATAAAGACTTACAGCTTTGGAAACCCAATGGGGTCACTATGAGTCAGAAATGACTAGATGGCAGTGAGTTTTTTTTTTTTTTTTTAGTTTTTGTAAACATACGTATAACACAACATTTGCCAATTCAATATTTTTCAGGTGTACAATTTATTGTTATTAATTATATTAATCATGTTGTGCAATCATCACCCATAATCAATGCCAAATTCCCCATCACCATAAACAGAAACTCAATGTCTCTTAAACAATGACGCCTTCTTTTCCCCTCCTTTCCACCCTTGGTGACCACCAACTTTAGTCTCTACACATTTGCCTATTCTTATTTCATATAAGTGAGATCACACAGTATTTGTCCTTTTATAACGGACTTATTTCACTCAGCATGTTGTTTTCAAGGTTCATCTGTGTTGTAGCATGTATCAGGACTTCATTTCTCTTTATAGCTGAGCAGTATTTCATCTTGGTCCAGGATTTTTTACTGGGGTTGCAAAGAAGAATAAGACATGGCTACTCCCAATGTCCATCTATTGCCAAAGCCCATTCTCCTGTCCTCTAGTGATTTTGCCACTATACCCTTCTTTACCAAGTTAGAAAATGTTGTTGTTGAAGCGACCAAAGGGGATGTCTGTGGCTGGGTAGTGGGAGAAGGAAATCAGTGAATGAAATATTGTTGAGATGAAAGCCAGAATGAAGGTATTTAAATCAAGAGGTTTGTTAGGAAGACTGGGGACTAAGAGAGCTGGGAACATACCTCTTGCTTGCTCTTTACTTCACAGGATCTTTCTGAGGGGTACGTAGGATTTTGCATGGAGATGTGCTTTGAAATGCTAATAGCTCTCTTGTACATCATCAGGACTCTCACCAGACCAAAAAGCAAAACCCACTACTATCGAGTCAATTCCAACTCACAGCAACCCCCACTGGGTTTCCAAGGCCATAAATCTTTACAGAAGTAGGTTACCTCATCTTCCTCTCATGGAGCAGCTGGTGGGTTTGAATCACTAACCTTCTGGTTAGCAGCCAAATGCCTTACCTATTATGTCATCAGAACTCCTTAGGACTCCTACAAACCAAAACCAAATTCACTGCCGTCAAGTCAGATCCAACTCAAAGCGACCCCTCCTTGGGTTTCCAAGGCAGTATCACTACAGAAGTAGATTGCCCAACCTTCCTTTCAAAGAGTGGCTGGTGGGTTTGAACTGCCAGCTTCTGGTTAGCAGTCAAATGCCTTAGGCACTATGCTACCAGAGGACTCCTACAGCACTATTCAAATAGATTTCTTTGAAAGACATGACCCTGAAGAGAGTAGCAGATTCATTGGGGGAATGTATGACAACATGGTTAGTGGGTACAAACTCTCCTTCAACCCTCCACAAAGGGGAGAGAAGAAATAGTACAGTGATAAGACATTAGCATTGACAAAGGTCTGATAGATATGGCTTTATTTTAACCCTTATTAAAATAGTAATACACACTTTAAAAACTAAATACACAGAGATAGATTTCACATGAAACTAATAAAGCATAAGTTTCAGAGTCTCTTACTTACTCAGTCTTCCCAAAGTTCTGCCTCTACTGCTGTAATGTTTTAAAATTTTGTAACTTTGTTATATATATATTTTTTAAGGTAAATCTCCCAAATTGTTTAAGTTTCCATCTCCACAAACCTGGAGCCACTTCTTCATAACAACAAAAACTTATTGCTATTGAGTGGATTCTGACTCATAGCGAACTTATATTGTTGTTGTTAGGTGCTGTCGAGTCAGCTCCAACTCATAGTGACTCCATGTACAACATAATGAAACATTGCCCAGTCCTGCGCTATCCTCACAATCCTTGCTGTACTTGAGCCCATCATAGTAGCCACTGTGTCACTTCATCCTGTTGAGGGTCTTCCCCTTTTTCACGGACCCTCTACTTTACCAAGCATGATGTCCTTCTCCAGGGAACGGTCCCTTTTGACCACATGACCAAAGTAGGTGAGATGAAGTCTGGCCATTCTTGGTTCCAAGAAACATTCTGGCTATACTTCTTCCCTAGGAGCTCTGGTAGAATAGTGCCTAAGGCACTTGACTGCTTACCAGAAGGCTGGCGGTTCAAACCCACCAGCCACCCCTCGGAAGGAAGGTTGGGCAATCTACTTCCAAAGTGATACTGCCTTGGAAACTCAAGTAGGGGTTGCTATGAGTCGGGTCCGACTCGACAGCATGTAACAACAACAACAACAATACTTCTTTCAGAAAAGATTTGTTCATTCTTCTGGTAGTCCATGGTGTTCTTTACTGACACCACAATTCAAAGGCATCAATTCCTCTTCAGTCTTCCTTATTCGTTGTCCAGCTTTCACATGCATATGAGGTGATTGAAAATAACGTGGGTTGGGTTAGGTGTACCTTAGTCTTCAAAGTGACATCTTTGCTCTTCAGCACTTTAAAGAGGTACATTTGCCTAGTGCAATACAACGTCTGATTTCTTGGCTGCTGCTTCCATGGGTGTTGATTGTGGAGCCAAGTAAAATTAAATCCCTGACAACTTCAATCTTTTCTCCATTTATTGTGATGTTGCTTATGGGTCCAGTTGTGAGGATTTTTGCTTTATTTATGTTGAGATAGAATCCACACTGAAGACTGTAGTCTTTGAGCTTCATCAGTAAGTACTTCAAATCATCTTCACTTTCAGGAAGCAAAGTTGTGTCGCCTGCATATCGCAGGTTGTTAACGAAGAAATTGGCCAGCAATCTTATAGGGCAGAGTAAAGCTGCCTCATAGGGTTTCCAAGGCAGTAACCTTTATGCAGTGAGCTCTAGTGGCAAAGTGGTTAAAACACCCAGCTGCTAACCAAAAAGTCAGTGGTTCAAACTCACCACCATTCTGAGAGAAAGATGTGGCTGCTTTTGTAAAGATTACAACCTTGGAATACATAGGGGGCAATTTTACTGTGTCCAAAAGGGTTGCTGCAAGTTGTAATTGACTTGATGGCAGTGGGTTTGGGAATCTTTACAGAAGCAGACTGCCAGATCTTTCTCCCATGGAGCAGCTAGGGGTTTGAACCATTGACCTTTTGGTTAGCAGTTGAGTACTTAATCACTACACCACCAGGCTCCTTATCACTCCTGCATTGGGGCAAAAATCTAGTCAAATCCTACCCTGAAGAGATAATCATTGTTAATTCTCCAGATTTTTTCCTCTGTATGTATCAGTACATTACTATTAACAAAATTCAAGCCTTGATTTGCAATATTGAATGATCTTTGAGCAAAATATTGAATGATACAGGAAACATCAAAAGCAGATGGAAGGAATACAGTGAGTCACTGCATCAAAAAGAACTGGTCAACACTCAACCATTTTAGGAGGTAGTTTATGATCAAGAACCAATGGTGTTGAAGAAAGAAATCCAAGCTGCACTAAAGGCATTGATGAAAAACAAGGCTTCAGAAATGGACTGAATACCTGTTGAGATGTTGCAACAAATGGATGCAGCACTGGAGGCACTTCCTTATCTATGCCAAGAAATTTGGAAGACAGCTACCCAGCCAACTGACTGGAAGAGATCCATATTTGTGCCCATTCCAAAGAAAGGTCCAACAGAATGTGGAAATTATCAAACACTATCATTAATATCACACACAAGTAAAATCTTGCTGAAGATAATTAAAAAACGGTTGTAGCAGTATATTGACAGGTAACTGCCAGAAATACAAACTGGATTCAGAAAAGGACATGGAACAAGGATATCATTGTCTTAAGCTGCCTTCTATTAACACATAGCTTGGAAATGAATGGTTGTGGTTTCTATGGCCAAAAGCTAGAGTCATTTTTCCCTCTGACATTCTTGTCTCTTTCAGGTGGAGGGAGGATCCAGGACCATGGCTGGTGCTCATGAGTTGGAGATGGAGGGTATGAATCTGAATATGGAGAGAGAGATGATAGAAGAGTTGGAGGAAGCCAAGAAAATGAGAGAGGATGGGGGAGGTAAGGCTCCCTCCAAAGATAAAAAGGTCCACAGGATTGTCTCAAAATGGATGCTGCCTGAAAAGGTGCGAAGATCATACTTGGATAGAGCTAACTGCTTCCCACCCCCTGTGTTCATCATCTCCATCAGTGTTGCTGAGGTAAATGTGTTGGGTGGTGGGCCCTGGCTTAGGTACCTGGGAAGCCGCAAACTAACTCTGTGGTTAGACCTAGATCTAGACAATAGACTGCAAAACATTCAGGAAGAGAGCTTGCTGGGGGCAAGTACAGCAGACAAAGCATCTACCTCATCCTCTCCAGAGCTCCCTTACCTGACTTTTCCTACGCTCCCCATCACTTTCAAGGAAGTGTTTTGTTTTTCTAACAAATCCCTTTCCTAGCAGTGACTTTGATTTCAGTGGCTTTGTTTCATTTTAACTGATGAGAGACTTAGAGACCAACGAATCTTGAGGCTGCAAATTGGACTGATCAGACAAGCCAAATTTTATTGATTGGTAAGGTCTGTCTCTACTCATCTATTTAGAAGATGGATTGACTCAGTGGCTCCAACAATGAACTCAAACATAGGAATGATTGTGAGGATGGCACAGGACTAGGCAGTGTTTTGTTCTGTCGTATGTAGGATCACTATAAGTTGGAACCAACTTGATGACACCTAACAATGACAACAACAGCCTCCAAATTTCAGTAGGAAAAAAAATACGAACTTTTAACCATGTCTATCTACTTTGGCTAAGGAAGTGAGTAGTGGTAGCATTTTCAGATTCTGATCTCATTAGCCCTTTTGTTTTCTGGAGAGAATGCAAGCCTCAGAGATGTAGAATGACCAAGGTCACATAGCTAGTGACTGGGCTTCTCATGAACCTCATCACACCTAGCTTTTTCTCCCACACCATGTTGTCTCATAAAGGAATTGACACAGCACGGCTGTCTGTGGGGTGTGACTTCAGGAGCATTAAATTAAACCTATTGCTCCAGTCTTTAGAGAAGTTAGCATGCTTGGTCAAGTAGAGGGTCTGCAAAAAAGAGGAAGACCTTCAACACATAGATTGACACAGTGGTTACAACAATGGAGTCAAACATAGCACCAATTATGAGGATGGCACAGGATCAGGCAAAAATACCATGGCAAACACCGTCATTATGGCATTTATAATAAAATACCCTTGTTCTATGGTGTATGTGGTCACTATGAATTAGAATCACCTTGATAGCACCTTACCATAGTGACAACAACACTGCTGTCAAGTGAATTCCAACTCATGGTGACCTCATATTTTACAGAATAGAACTGCTCCATAGGACTTTCTTGGCTATAATCTACAGACGCAGATCACCAGGTCTTTCTTTTCTGGTGCCACTAAGTGGGTTCCAACCATCCCCTTTCTGTCAATAAAACCAAAAACCAAACTCACTGTCATTGAATCAATTCCAACTCATAGCGACCCCCATTGGGTTTCCAAGGCTGTATATCTTCATAGAGGTAGATTGCCATGGAGCATGCCTTAACCACTTTACTACCAGAGCTCCTTCTTTTGGTTAATAGCTGAGTGCAACCCAAAGATCTTTCAGGGACATTAAACTCCAAACTCACTGCCACAGAGTTGATTCTGTCTCAAAGAGACCCCCATTGGGTTTCTGAGGCAGTAAATCTTTATGGAAGTAGACTGCCCCATCTCCCTTCCACAGAGCAGCTGAGGGCTTGAACCCCCACCTTCCCAGTTAGCAGTCAAATGCCTTAGACACTGTGCCACCTTAAGAAGACCCTTATGTAATCCTCCTAATTCCCACTGATGCCTCAACCTCCTTATCGGGAACCAAGTCTCTGACGGCTCAGATAGAGATAAGCATACTTCAGATAAGCCTCTGCTTCCAATCTGTATCTGGATTCTTATTGCTTCTCAGCACCTTATCTCATGTTATCCTTTCAGATTTTGCTGTCAATACTCTGGTGGCATAGTGCCTAATGCATTTGACTGTTAACCAGAAGGCTGGTGGTTCAAACCCACCGGCCACTCCTTGGAAGGAAGGTTGGGCAATCTACTTCCATGTGACACCACCTTGGAAACTCAAGGAGGGGTTGCTATGAGTCGGATCCAACTTGACGGCAGTTTTTTTTTGAGTGTTAACTGCCTTGTCTGCCTAGTTCATCTTTTCACACCAGCCATGGCAGGCTATACATCATCCTATTCGTTGACGGAGCTCTGGTAGCATAGTGCCTAAGGCACTTGACTGCTAACCAGAAGGCTGGCGGTTCAAACCCACCAGCCACTCCTCGGAAGGAAGGTTGGGCAATCCTACTTCCTTAGTGATACTGCCTCGGAAACTCAAGGAGGGGTCGCTATGAGTCGGGGCCAACTCGACGGCAAACAACAACAACAATTCGTCGACTAGTTCGCTCATGGTCCAATCAGTGTGAAGGTTGGGCGAGGGATTGGAGAAGAATTGGGAAAGGTCATATTGTATGAAATAAGCTGCCCAGACTTCTCTGTGACCCACAGAGAAGGCAGTTTCTTGAAAGGGTCACAAGCAGGTGCTGACATATCTGCCTCTTACAGAGGGATCAATACACTTAATTTTTAATCAAATTTCTAAAAATAAACTTATTGTTTTAGACTAATTTTATATTTACAGAAAAGTTGCAACACTAACACAGAGAGTTCCTGTATACCCCTCACCCAATTTCCTCAATTGGTAACATCTTATTTCTATGTTACATTTGTCAAAACTAAGAAAGGGACATTGGTATATTACTATTAGTTAAACTTCAGACTCAGGAGCTCTGGTGGCATAGTGCCTAAGGCATTTGACTGTTAACCAGGAGGATGGTGGTTCAGACCCACCAGCCACTCAGAAGGAGGAAGACTGGGGCAATCTGCTTCTGTAAAGATCGCCTCAGAAACCCCACATGAGTCGCTATGAGTTGGAATTGACTTGGTGGCAGTGAGTTTGGTTTTTTTTTGGTAAACTTCAGACTATTTATGGATATTACCAGTTTTTCCATTAATGTCCTTTTTCCATTCTAAGATCCAGCTAGATATTGCATGTAGCTGTCATATCTCCTCTGTCTTCTCTGATCTGTGGCAGGTTCTCAGTCTTTCTTTGCTTTTCATGATGTTGACCATCTAGAGGAATACTGGCTAGGAAACTTATAGAATGCCCCTCAATCTAGGTTTGTCTGATGTTTTTCTCAGGATTAGATTGGGGTTAAGGGTCTGGGGAAGAGTGCCACAGAAGTGAAGTGCCCTTCATATCATATCAGGGGTACATGATATTCACATGACATCACTGGTGACAATAACCTTCTTCACTTGGTTAATGCAGTGTGTTTGCCAAGTTTCTACACTGTAAAGCTACTATTTTTCCCTTTCCCTACTCAATTTTTTTGATGCAATGACTTAATTTTATACCAAGTTGTAAATGAAAGAGCAAGTGATGGGATGGGAAGATGAAGTTAGTGGATATTTAAGGTGGGGGGGATAGAGACCATAGTGCCAGAGAGCAGGGTGTGGAAGAGTAAGGGAAAGAGTTGGGAGAAAAGAATCTCCTTTACACTTTGGCCTATAGTTGTTCTTAAGTATTGTGAGGCATGGTGGGAAAATTCCTGTCATCTTCTTAGCACATGCTGTGGGGTGGCCCATTTGAGAGTTACTGCCCAGGGGCTTATTTGGGCTAGTGCCTAGAGAAGGAAGTGTTCCTGGATGGTACAAATGCTTTGTGCTTGTCTACTAACTGAAAGGTTGGTGGTTCAAACCCACTCAGTTGCTCCATGGAAGGCCTGGTAATTTGCTTCTGTAAAGATTACAGCCAAGAAGACCCTAGTGACTTCAGTTCCACTCTGTAACACATGGGGTCACCATGAGTCAGAATAGACTGGATGGCAAACAGTTTTTTTTTTTTTTTCTTCCTGGAGAAGGAGGGTTAACATTTATGTCTGCCTCTCCCCATCAGCTGGCAGTGTTTATTTACTATGCTGTGTGGAAGCCTCAGAAACAGTGGATCACCTTGGACATAGGCATCTTGGAAAGCCCCTTTATCTACTGTCCTGACAAGAGGGAAGAAGTCTGGAGATTTATCTCATACATGCTGGTCCATGCTGGGTAAGGAGTGACAGTTAAAGTCACTGATATCAGAAGGTCACTGTAACTCCTAATGTTTGTTCAGTGCTTTATTATTGATAAAGCATTTTCATGTCCACAATCTTGTTTGATCCTCATAGCAACCCTCAAAACCACAAACCAAACTCATTGCTTCATAGCTACCCCTCCTTGGGTTTCTGAGGTGGTATCTCTACAGAAGTTGATTGCCTAGTCTTCCTTCTGAGGAGTGGCTGGTGGGTTTGAACTGCCAGCCTTCTGGTTAGCAGTCAAATACCTTAGGCATTACACCACCAGAGCTCCCCTAAGAGGCAGGTATTACTTCTGCTACTATATGGCTAGTACATAGGGGATTGGTCCAAGTCTAACATCTAAGTTGCAGAGTTGGGACCTGAACTCATATGACTTTAAGTCCAGTGTGAATGAACAAATTGTCTTGGAGGAAGAACAGCTGGACTGCTCCTTAAAAGCATGAGTGACCAGACTTTGTCTCTCGTACTTTGATCATGCTGTCTGAAAGGACCAGTCCCTGTGAAGGATATCATGCTTGGTAAAATAGAGGAGTCAGTGAAAAAGGGGGAGGACCTCAATAAGACAGACTGGCCCAGTGTCTGCAAAGATGGGCTCAAGCTGGTAAGGATTGTGAGGGTGGTGCAGGATCGGGCAGTGTTTCATTCTGTTATATACAGGGTCAATATGAGTTAGAATCAACTGGATGGCATCTAACAACAACAAGTCCAGTGCACTTTATATTGCATTATCACTGCCCAATATTGGTATTTACATAGGAATATGGATGAGAAGAGACCAAACCATTATAAAACCAAAACTATGTTTCCCCAGTGTTCTGATGTCATCAAATGTTCCCTAGGAGTCTGTAGGTGGTACAAATGGTTAATGTGCTTGGCTGCTAATTGTAAGGTTGGCAGTTCAAGTCTACCCAGAGGTTTCTTGGAAGAAAGGTTTGCAATCTATTCTCAAAAAATCAGCCACTGAAAACACTATTGAACTCAGTTCTACTCTGATACAATGAAGTCACTGTGAGTTGGGTCAATTCCACAGCCATTGCTTCTGAAATGTTTCTTTAGGTAATGGAATGATGGAGCTGAATCACTAGTTCTGCCACCTCAGCTTTTAAAATAATTATTATATGAACATTTTGATTAGTATGTAATACTGTTATCTACCTGGACTAGGAGACAATAGCAGACAATAGGAGATGTAGGGTCTGCCTTCCTTTTAATTTGCTTACACGTTCTTAAATGTTAGTAGCATTTCATGACCTAGCTCAGAATTCCTTACCCACCATGCCCACTGTAGACAGTGAGGAGTTTGCTTCTGGCCTCAGTTCTCTTGTGGACTCCTGTGGCTTCAGCTGAGGCCACCCTCATCTATGAGACCTACCTTGCCTTGGACCTGAAAGGCCTTTGGCCAGTGGCTTAACAGGCATCCATGGCAGGACACAGGACTCAGACAAGAACTACTAAAAAAGAATCTCTAAGAACACCTAGTTTGCAGGCACTTCTACATTTCAATTTTCCATTGAACAGTATGTTCTAAGCAAACATGGGTCCTGCACTCAAAGACTTTAAAATTATAAGGAAACACCAAACAAAAACCAAACCCTCTGCCATCGAGTCGATTGTGACTCATGGTGACCCTACGGGACAAAGTAGAACTGCCCCACAGGGTTTCCAAGGCTGTAAATCTTTTTGGAAGCAGACTGCCTCATCTTTCTCCCATGGAACAGGCTGGTGGGTTCGAACTGCTGACCTTTTGTTTAGCAGATGAATGTTTTAACCTCTGCATCATCAGAGCTTCTATAAGGGGAGTCAGCTAAATAGAAATGTAAGGCTATATGTTATTATACTATACAGTAATTACTTAATCTTTGTGGCTCAGTTTTCTCATCTATAAAATGGGATAATATAGTGCCTACCTCATAAGGATGTTGTGATTAAATGAAATTGTTATAATTTTCACAGTACCTGACACAAAGTAAGCACTCAAAAAGCTGACCGTGTAGGACATGTCACACATGGGGTCATGTAAGTTAGGAATTCTTTTAGATGCAAGAACAGAAACAAAAAAATCTAGCAGTGGCTTAAACAAATAGAGGTTAGTGTTTTTTTTTCCATATAACAACACCAGAGGTAGGGGCTGCTTCAGCAGTTTAATAAAGCCAAGGTCTGCTCCTGTGCTGGCATCTCTCATGCCTTGGCCTTTTTTCCATGGTTGCAAGTTGGTTGCCATAACTGCATTCAAGGCAAAAAGAAGGAGGGAGTGGCACCAGGTACCAGTGCATCCATCACTTGGTCAACACAAAAACTTGCTTAAAAGTACCTCAGCAGTACTTTTATTTGCATCTCCTTGACCAGAAAACACAGTATGGCTAACCTTAGCTACAAGAGCTACAAGATATTAGCTTTTCCAGTCTTGGTAGAGCAGGTATAAAGGAAATGGATATTGGATTAGCTATAGTTATATAAAAAGAAAGGAACACTGCTGGCACAATGGTTAAACACTTGGTTACCAAAAGGTCGGGGATTTGAATCTACCAGTAGATCCGTAGGAGAAAAGACCTGGCAATCTGTTTCCATAAAGATTCCAAAACCCACTGTTGTCAAATTGACTGCAATTAACAGTGACCCTGTAGGACAGAGTGGAACTGCTTTAGAGGGTTTCCAAGGCTATAATGCTTTTGGATGCAGATGGCCACATCCTTCTCCTGCAGAGCAGCTGGTGGGTTTAAACTGCCAACCTTTTGATTAGCAGCTGAGCACTTAACCACTGTGTCATTAGGGCTCCTTCTTGTAAAGATGAAACTCTAGGAAGCATTGTCGAGCAGTTTTATTCTGTCCCATAGGGTCACTATGAGTTGGAATCGATTTGATGGTACACACCACCACCACTAACAACATATAAAGAGAAAGAGGGGAATATCTAAGTGGGGATGGCTTTATGGATAATATGTATCTAAATTGGATCTTGATGGGTGTGTAAGATTTGGATAAAAAAACAGTATTTCCATTTTGGGTATATGAAAGAATTTCATCTTTGTGTCACCTCTAATCCTGCTGCTGGGCAGCAGAAAGAGTGTTTAAGATAGTAAGACAGGGTGGTTCTTTGGAGTTTTTTTTTTTTGTGGTATTGGTCTCTGTTATGGACTGAATGGTGTCCCCCCAAAATATGTGTTGTAAATCCTAACCTGTATGGCTATGGTTATAATCCCATTTGGTAATGGGTTGTCTGTCTTTTTTTATTAATAGGCAGGATTAGTATAGGGTGTGTCTATAGTCAATCTCTTCTGAGATATAAAAGAGGTTAAACAAGCAAGTGAGAGAAGCAGAGTTTGGGGAAGACTGTTCCAAAACACTTGGAGATCTCTAGTGAACCAGGAAGTAGAAGCTGAAGAAGACCTTCCTTCAGAGCTGACAATGCAATCCTGATCCAGATTCCATCAACATTCTTTAAGGACATGGAAAAACCAGTTACTAATTTTATATGGAAAGGAAAGAACCTTTGGATAGAGGGCTTGAAGAAGAAGAACAAAGTAGGAGGTCTTACACTCTTGGATCTCAAATTATCCTATACAGCCCTAGTAGTCAAAACAGCCTGGTACTGGCTGAAGTAGAGCCATCCACCTATGGTCAGCTGATCTTTGACAAAGGACTGAAATCCATTAAATGGGGATGAGATAGTCTTTTTTACAAATGGTGCTGGCATATTGGATATCATACCTCACACTATACACAAAAACTAACTCCAGATGATCAAAGACTTAAATGTAAAACCTAAAACTATAAAGTTCATTTAAAAAAAAAAAAAAAAAACAGGGACAAAATAAGGCGTCTTTGTTTTTTTAATATATAGCATATGTGTACATGGATACACGGCATTGATAGACTACCAAACATAAGTAAAAATGGACAAACAGCAGAAGATAAACTAGTTGATGAGATCTTCTAAAAATTAAATTCTTATGTGCATTAAAAGGCTTCTCCAAAAGAGTGAAAAGGGAACCTACAGATTGAGGAAAAATATTCAGCAATGACATATCTCACAAGGGAGTTATATCTAAGATTTATAGAAAACTCCAACACCTCAACAGCAAAAAGACAAACAATCCAATTAAAAAATAGGCAGAAGACATGAACAGACTTCACCAAGGAAGGTATTCAGGCGGCCAACAAAGACACGAAGAAATATTCACGATCATTAGCCATTAGAAATGCAAATCAAAACTACAATGAGATACTATTTCACCGCAGCAGTAATAGCAAAGTTCAACAAGACAGAAAATAACAAATGCTGGCGAGAATGCAGAGAAATAAGGATGCTCAAAAACTGCTGATGGGACTGTAAAATGATATAATCACTGTTGGAAAATGGTATGGTGATTCTTTAAAAAGTTGGAAATAGAAATACCATTTGATAGAGCAATCCCATTACTGGTTATATCCTAAAGAAGTGAAAGCCGGGACACGAATAGATACATGCATACCCATATTCATTGCAGCACTAGTCACAATAGCAAAAAGATGGAAACAACCTAAGTGTCCACCAATGGAGGAATGGATAACCAAACTATGGTACATAAACACAATGGAATACTATGCAATACTAAAGTATAATGTAGAACCACAAAATACTGCATAATGTGGGTGAACTTGGAGGACATTATGCTGAGTGAAATAAGTCAATCACAGAAGGACAAATATTGTGTTAGTCCACTATTGTAAAAAGGCAAGGGAAGGTTAACATATGGAAGGAAACTTTCTTTGTTGGTTACCAGGGATGGGAGGGGAGGGAAAACTGCTACACGGGTAATAGACAAGTATTGATTTGGGTGAAGGGAAAGGCAATATACCAAAAGTGAGTGACCAACCCAGTAACACTAAGGAAAAGGAAGACACCGAGGTATGCTCAAGAGGTATAGACAACAAAGATAAACACTTTTACATATACAATACTGCATTATCAATAATAACAAACATTAATCTATGGGTGGATACATAGGTAGACAGAGTGAATGATCAGGTATATCTGGGCAAAAGGGAATATATCATACATAAGTTTGGCAGATGATATTTCTGCATACATAGTTGTATGTGCTATAAGAATGCCCATATATGTAATAGAGCTAATAGGGAAAAGTGATAACTATTTAGCCACAGCCAAACATCCTGAGAGAATAAGTCACAGGGCCCATAGGTTTAGGACCATGGTCACAGGGGACATCAAGCTCATTTGGCATCACATACTACACAAAAATATTGTTCTACATCTTTGGTGAGCAGCGACTGGGGTCTTAAAAGCTTCCAAGCAGCTATCTAAGAGGTAACAATTGGTTTCTCTTTACCTGGAACAAAGAAAAATGAAGAAAACCAAAGACACATGGAAATAATTAGTTCAAACCATATATGGACTATATGAACCTGAGCCTACATGACCCCCAGACTAGAAGAACTAGATGTGTCCACCTACCACTGCCAACCACTCAGAAAGGGATTGAAATAGGAGATCCTGGATAGAGTGGGAGAAAAATGTGGGACAAAAATCAAAATAATAAAAAGACCAGGAATCCTGGTCTGATAGAGACTAGTGAAACCCCCGAGACTATGGCCCCTAGTTACCCTTCTGGCTTGGAATTGAACTCATTCCTGTGGCTTCCACCCAAACAATAGATGGGCATATATGGTGAACATTTACACCAGGTAGGTATATACCTTAGCACAATCCACCATGGAAGATCAGAAGGGCAGTATTTGCACCAGGAGATAGCTCAGAGGGCAGGAATGCATTGGAAAGAAGGACACAAGGAAAAGACAACCACAGGGAAGAAGTAGGAAGAGAGCTGTTGCATTGTGAGGGTTGTAATCAATGTCATGAAACAAAAAGTGAATGAATATTGCATGGGAAATGAATTTTCTCTGTAAACTTTCACCCAAATCACAATTTCAAAAAACAGAAAACAAAACAAGCAAGCAAACAAAAAAATCTGTAAAAAAAAAAATATGTTATACACTAAATTTTATTTACTAGAGTTACCAACATTAGTCAGTGTTACTAGGTCAACAATTTTGTGGAGAAGTGGGAATGAGGTTTCTCTTGTCATATTCTTTTATTGAAGAATCTCCTGAGATTATAACATAGACTTTTTAAAAAGCCTATTAAAATTGGAACTCAATATGAGTGAATTAGAATTTTCTCTATAGCACGCAACTGAAACAGAGTCAGATGCTAGGCTGATTTAAGTTGGCAGTTGTCATTAAAATTCCCTAATTTCACATTTAGACTGGTGGTTCAAATCCACCAGCCACTCCTCGGAAAGAAGGTTGGGCAATCTACTTCTGTAGTGATACCGCCTCAGAAACCCAAGGAGGGGTCGCTGTGAGTCAGATCCAACTCGACAGCAGTGCATACTACACTACTGCAATTTCACATTTACGTTCCTTAAACAGTCTCATTGATATGTTTGACATTATAAGTAACTGTTACAAAAACAGACCTTATGAGAGCATCAGCCTGTAAAAAGGATCACTAGTCCATCTTAGTCTGGAAGCTCCATTGAAATCTGTTTAGCAACATAGCAACACATAAGCTCTACTCACAGGTGGGTGGTGGCTGTACTGGAGGTGCATTAGCCAGGATTGAACCTGGGTCTCCTGCATGGATGGTGAAAATTCTACCAATGAACTATCACTGTCCTCTCTTAAAGGGCTAGATAGTAAATATCTTCAAGTTTGCAGGCCGTAAGTGTTGTAACCACTTAGTTCTATTGTATGAAAAAAGTCATAGAAAATACATAAATGAGTTGGTATGGCTGTGTTCTGATAAAACTTTATTTACAAAAGTAAGCAGTTAGCTCCAGGGCCATTGCTTGCCAACCTCTAGTTTAAGCCAATAAAGTCTATTTTTTCTTGTATAACAAGAAAACAAAAAAACAGAACTTATAAAATTTATACTTCCAAAATACCCTTTTATCTGCTTTATATATTGAGGCTCCATGCAAGATTTTATGTAAAATAAAGATTCTCTTGCTTTTTTTTTAGGAAAAAAAAATTAGAAAATAGAATGCTGGTGAAGCAAGTCTGTACCTAGAAACCTTGCCCATTAATTTCCCAAAGAAATGCTGGGTTTAGTCATAACATTTGACAACTGTGTTTGCCTCTGCAGGGTTCAACACATCTTGGGGAATCTTCTCATGCAGCTCAGTTTGGGGATTCCCTTGGAAATGGTCCACAAAGGCCATCGAGTGGGGCTGGTATACCTGGCAGGTGTGATTGCAGGTCAGTGTTCTGAGTTTAATATAGAAGCAAAACATCTTGGCTGGGAAGAATAAAAACTAACATTAAGTGTGGGCTTATATTTAAGTCACATTGCACTGCTCCATTGTGCTAGGAAGCACCCCAAACACTAGGGATAAAAAAGGTAAGCCATCGTGTCTGTTCTTAGGTATCTCATATTGGAAACCGCACGGTAGTTTGGTGTAAGGGTGCATGTACAGGTATGTGTCATGTCATATCCACAATAATTCTGTGAATTTGTATGCTATGAGAACACCATATTATACATTGTATATATGTTTGTATACACATAAGTAAAAATAACCCCTGTACAAAGTCCTCTGGCTCTCTTAGCACCCGGAGCCTGGAGCCTTGAGGTTTGCTGCACACTTGCACCTGTAGTTGGCTGCTTCTGGGCACACAATAGGAGCCAAGCTACGCTGCTGCAGCCCTGCAAACTGGATGCCGCCCCGCCTCCTGATGCCCTTCTAAGCAAGCCCCTCCTTCTCACGCCACAGTGCAGTTATGTTAGATGAAAGCCTAAAGCCAGATTGTCATACTAATGATTTTGGGAAGCAACATGGTCAAATTTGCATTTAAGAAAGATAATTTCCAGGGACTGCAGAGAAGAGCTACTAGGGTAGAGACAGGACCCAAAGATCAAGTAGGGACTAGCAGCATATTTTATAGCAGTGATCTCTAAACTTGAGTATGCCTAAAATGATCCTTCATGTTGCGGGAAGAAAATACTACACCTTCTATATATGTGTGTGTATGCATGTAGCAGAAATACGTTCTTAAAAAAAAGTTTTTTTTTAAGTTTAAATAAACTTTTATTTTGAGATAATTGTAAATTTCATATGCAATTGTAAGAAATAGTACCTAGAGATCCTGTGTCCCTTTTAACCAGTTACCCCCAATGTAACTTCTTGAAAACCTACAGTACAATATCACAATCAGGATATCAACATTGAGACAGTCAAAATACATTTCCAGTACCCAAGGATCACTTGTGTTGGCTTCTTATATCCACATCTACTTCCCTCCCATCCCCACCCCCTCCTTAACTTCTGGCAACCACTTTTGTCATTTCAGAAATGTTATATAAATGGAATACAGTATGTAGCCCTTTTGGCTTGGCTTTCTTCAGTCAGCATAATTCTCTGGAGATTCATCTAGGTTGTTTCATGCATCGGTAGTTCATTTCTTTTTATTGCTAAGTAGTATTCCATAGTATGGATGTACCACAGCTTGTTTAACCATTTGCCCATTGAAGGATATCTGGGTTGTTTCCAGTTTTGGGCTATTAAGAATGAAACTGCTATAAAAATTTGTGTATGGGTTTTTGTGTGAACATAAGCTTTCATTTCTTTGGGATAAATGCCCAAGAGCACAATTGCCGAGCCATATGGTAGGTGCTTATTTATATTTTTAAGAAACTGCCAAGTTATTTTCCATTCCCACCTGCAATATCTGAGTGATCTAGTTTCTCTGCATTTGGTGTTATCATTAGTTTTTATTTTAGCCATTCTGATAAGTGTGTAGTGGTACCTCAATGTGGTTTTAAATCTGCATTTCCCTGATGGCTGATGAAAGGTGCTCTGGTGGCTCAATGGTTAAAGCATTTGGCTGTTAACCAAAAGGTTAGTTCTGGTGTGAAAGATGAGGCCGTCTGCCTTGGAAAGATTCACAGCCTTGGAAATCTTATGGGGCCATTTTACTCTGTCCTATAGGGTTGCAGTGAGTGGGAATCAACTTGACGACAGTGGGGTTAATGGCTAATGTTGAACATCTTTTTCCTCTGCTTATTTGCCATCTACATACGCTCTTTGGTAATATGTCTGCTCATGTCTTTGGTTCATTTTTGAATTGAACTGTTTATTTTACAGTTAAGTTTTGAGAATTCTTTATATATTTTCTCTATAGTCCTTTACTGACTATGTGGTTTGCAAATATTATCCCCCTGTCGTTAGCTTGTCTTTTCATCCTCTTAACAGGGTCCTTAAAGTTTTAAATTTTGATGAAATCCAGTTTATCAATTTTTCCTCGTATGGATCATTTTGGTGTCATGTCTAAGAACTCTTCACTTAGCCCTAGAGTCTGAAAAGACTTTCTCCTGTGCTGTCATCTAAAAATGTTATGTTGTATTTCACATTTAAACCTGTACTACATTGAGTTCTTTTTAAATTTTGAGTTAATTTTTATACAAAGTGGGAGGCTAAGTTTTTTGTTTCTGTTTTTGCTTATGGATATCTAATTACACCAGCACTATTTATTGAAAAGACTATTCTTCTTCCATTGCTATTGTATTTTTGTCAAAAATCAATTGTTTGTAGCTGTGTGGGGCTATTTCTGGGTTCTCCTTTCTGTTCTGTTGAGCATTGTGTCTATCTCCTCGCCCACACAGTCTTGATTACTGTAGCTAAAAAGCCTTGAAACTGGATAAAGTGATTCATCCCATTTTATTCGTTTCAAAATTGTTTTTAGCTGTTCCAGTTCCTTCTATATAAATTTTAGAATAATCTTACCTGTATCTATAAAAACTCTTGCTGATATTTTGATAGAAATTGCATTGAACTCATGTATCAGTTTGAGGACAACTGACATCTTTATTGTGTTGGGTATTTCATTTATTGGAACAGTGTATGTCTCTTCATTTATTCAGACCTTTGATTTCTTTAATCAGCATTTGGTAGTTTTCAGGAAGTCTTATACATGTTTTATTAGATTAACACTTAAGTATTTTTTTTTAGATTGTAAATACTACTATATTTATAATCTGTGTTCATTGCTGGTATATACCAATATAACTGATTTTTGTATGTTGATCTTATATTCTGAGACCTTGCTGAACTCACCTATTAGTTTTAGTTTTTTGGCAGATTCCTTGGGATTTTCTGGGTCATCTGCAAATACAAATAGGGACAGTTTTATTTTTTCCTTTTTAACCGGTTGACCTCGTTTTCCCTTTCTTGCCTTCTGCTGACTAGGACTTCAGCACTATGTTGAATAACAGTGGTGAAAACAGACACCCTTAACTAGTTCCTGGTCTTAGGGAAAGCCATCTAGTCTTTCACCATGAAGTTTAATATTAACTGTAGATTTTTTATAGATGTTCTTTATCAATCCATTTATTCATAATCCAAAAAGTAAGCAAGTAATATACAGGTTGACATAGATCACTCTTTGGTCTTTATGTATCACATGAGTGTATGCAGTTTCCCTGGGCCAGGCTCTAGAGGCTGGGTGAAAGCACCCCAACCTTGGGCTTCAGCTCTGCCTCCTGCTCCTGGCCCACTGGAGCTAGAGGCTTTTCTTCACTCAGGCAGCTGTTGGCTGCTGAGACTGACAAGCCCAAGGTTGACAAGTAAAATGACACAGTCCCATATTACCAAACCACATGGCAGGCCATTAATTCAAGTCCATTGAAAGTCCCAAGGTCATCAGAGCGTGGTAGGCTGCTGAGCAATGACATGGCTACATTCAGGGTTCAAGCATGCCATAAGCTAGAGACCATTTCCAAAGCTGCTTCTTATATATGGGAAGCAGATCACATCCCTAAAGCAGCTACTTAGCTGCCTGTGGTAGATCCAACCATGGAGTTGATTGCCAGTCTCATCATGGGGAATAACTACCACCAGCTGCCCAGCCATTCAACCAGGCCCAGCCAAGGTGACACACAAACTTAACCACCATAGCAATATAACCGAATCAAACCAAACTCACTGCCAACAAGTTGATTCTGACTCATAGCGACCCCCTTTGGGTTTCTGAGGCAGTAAATCTTTACAGAAGTAGATTGCCCAGTCTTCCTCTCACAGAGTGGCTGGTGGGTTTGAACCACCAACCTTCTGGTTAGCAGTCAAATGCCTTACACACTACACCACTAGAGCTCCTTATAGCAATGTGTATATACACACACACATACACACTGCTATAAGGAGCTCTGGTGGTGTAGTATAACAAAAACCAAAAACCAAACTCAGTGCTGTCGAGTCAATTAGACTCATAGCGACCTCTCTTGGGTTTCTGAGGTGGTATCTCTATGGAAGTAGATTGTCCAATCTTCCTTACGAAGAGTGGCTGGTGAGTTTGAACCGCCAGCCTTCTGGTTAGCAGTCAAATGCCTTAGGCACTACACCACCACAGCTCCTATATATACACACACACACATAGTTTATCAGTAAGTATCAATATACTTTATCAATAAGGAAACATACATGTATTGCATTGGGCGCTCTCTCCTTTTTTTTTTCACTGATTAAAAAAGTTTTCCAGCCTCTGAGAGCAGAGGGTTTCAGTGAGGGCTGCAATCTGACAGGGTGGCAGTGGCTGTGGCGATGGAGAGTAGGTAGCCGTCAGGCACTGTGTTAAAGAGAGAATTGGAAAGGCTTGGTGACCTGGCCCCACACTGCACTCCCTCCTACTCTGTGTCTCCTCACTCCCCTCTGTGTGAAATACCCACTTCTCCTGCCTTTGAGAGCCCTTTTCAATAGCCAGGACATGCGGGCTCCAGTATCTACACCCCTGTTTTCCCAACAGCTTAATTTGAACCTGTGGATTCAGCCCTGCCCTAGGTTCAGAGAAGCAGAGAAGGGAGAACGTGAATTACCTGTTCTCATCCTCTGTCTATTTTTGCAATAGCCTCCCAGCAGGCATTTCTTTCCCATTCTAGTCAATCCTTTGCACCGCTGCCTGGGTCACATCCTTCAAACACAGATTAGATGATATTACACCCTTCTTCTTTACGATGACCAAGAGAAAGTCCAAATATCTGAGAGTGCTCTTCATCACCCTCCTTCACTTGGCCCCAGTGCCTTTCTTGCCCCCTGCTCCTCCATTCTAGGAACATTGTGTACCAATCTTTGTGTGAACAATGTTTTCATAACTCTCGGCTCTTGTTCCTGTTCCCTTATTATCCTTTTAACATCTATAGTCATATCACTTTTCTCATTCCTGACATTGATAATTTGTGTTTCCTGTTTTTTTTTCTTCTCCTACTC